TGGTAACGATTAATGGACCCAGACCTCGCGAAAGTCGCCGCCGCACTTCTACCAACATCGTGGATGACGCTAGCGAGGGACAGAAACGGATCGAAACAATGCTGTGGTCTGCACGACAAGTGAAGACAGGCCATCTAAGTATCTGAGTAGGTAAGTATCTAAAGTGCTTCACTTCTACGGCATGAAACAATCAACAGTTCAACAGTTGTTTTCATTTTGACAATACACATAAACTGGGTCAGATGAAAATCGACAGAATTTGGTCTTATAACTCTTTTGACAAAGACTTGCACAAATTTGTATTGTGAGTGGCTGGCTAAGTGCCTCTTCTTTAAAAGAGTTGTGGAACCACAGCTTCACTCCACCACTTTTTCCTTTCTTTGTCACTGTCATGCTATCAAATAAGTTTAGATCGAGAAACTCAAAAGACTAGGAATATCTAAATGTTGTTTGTTTGTCACTTAAGTCATGGCAGACAATTGCAAGGAGAAAGTAATCACTTTTGGCTCGTACAACCATTTTTCGCCTTTTAAGATGCAGAGGACGAACAAGCGATGAAAATTAGTCGTTAGAGAATCCAGAACAAATCAAAGATAGATAAAACCTAAAAGGAATTGTCAACACATAAAAAGCGAAAAATGTTCTATACTTCAAAGATAACCGGCTAGCAAACATTTTATGAGTGAGTCTTCGATGGCTATTGCATACATATTTAATTATTTTAAATTTATTTTCTTTTAACCTTCAAAATTCATGCAACTGAAGAATCAGATCCGACGTTAAATCCATCACTATCTATAGTGACTGGAGGAAATGCTGAAAAAGGGACTCGGACAAAAATTGGTTATGATTGAAGACACGAATTGGGAATGTCGTTGAAAATATCCCAATTTGGCTTTACACTCTTCATCGATGGATACCAGTACTCCTGTTTGTAAAGCGAAAAGTTCGCACTGTGCGGAAAATAAAGCTCCCATCCGTATGTCACATCTAGAAATCATGTTCATAAGTTACGTTTACTTAAATCAAACAGCAAGGACTTACTTCTTTGCTCAGAGGAATAGCCTCGAATCAGCGATGGATGTTTACCATTTATGTTCACGTCGTCTGGTGGTTCGCCTTCATAGACAATCACCTCCTTGTAATGACCATTAAGAGATACTTGCTCGTCTCGTTGCTTCCTTATGTAGGTGAGACCCATGCTAAGAAGGCTCTATTTGGTTAGATTTGAAGTTTCTTAAAGATTACATTAATCCAGTTGAACATCGTGGTAGATCAGTACTTTTTGAGAGCTTCATTAATTGATTTTGGGGGAAAAACGAAAATTTATGAATTATGACATTTGATTATATCAGAATGGCAGGAGAGTTTAATCGTGGAAAATGGGAAAAAAATCTTAACATCTTTACTCTAAGATTTTACAAGCACCCGAATAAGTTGTAAACGTCGATGAAAACTTCTACTCTAGTATGCAAAACCAAAAAATTGCTGATACTTTGCTGAAAACCAAGTAACTGAGTAATGTTTTGAGATATGTACAATTAAAATATGCAACTACAATGTGTCTTGTTTTTTCAAGGCCAAACGGAAATTAATAAAGCAAAATCACAAGAACTTGAAGATGTAAGCTTGAAAAAGCTTGTGATTTTAAGAGAGCTAAGGCAGCGGCTTTGTTTGCGAGATTTACGGCTTTGGCTAGAAAAAGCAGTGTTAATACTGAATGATATATTCTTCACAGCGTAGCATAATAAAACGAAAAAACTGTAGTGACCTCTCAATGAATTCATCGTAGCCCTGATCCATTTTCGTACATCGCACCTTTGTTTGAAAAAATGTTAGATTGTCGAAAACATAGTAGGAATATTGCCAATCGGTAGTTGTGAGGCCAACGCGATGATAAAGTCGCTTTTTGGTCGCATCCTGGACCCAATCAGTGCCGTATGATGTGTACTGAAACATTCTCAGAAGGATAGTTGCTCACAGATTTGTATCGACGCATACCGTGTACTGCTGCTGACCATTTTGTAAGCCTTTCCTGTACATCATTGTGAGAGTTCCATTGAAACATTGTTGGTCGATATTGTATGGAAAATAGAGAGTTGCATTTTGATCAGCTGGTTGGCGTTGGCTTTCCTCCGCTGAATGCATCGTAACGTTCTATACTTCGTACTGTGTCAAGCGCTATTGTCGTTGTCGGAAAAGTTTCTCGCCATTTACTACTGTCTTGGCAAATTTTCCAGGTTGTTGTTATCCAAAACGTAATTCGTGTTGGCTCTTCTCCAAATATATATAAAGGATCCACTTATGCCAAATTTGTTGTAGGTAAAGTTACATTCATGGCAAAAAAATTGTCTTCGATTCTGAGATTCAAGTGCTGCTTTACGAATC